ATAAAATAAGAAGAATTAATAAATTATTTTACTTCTCCTTGGTATTTTTCTAATAAAACATTTATTCTAATTTACATTAATCGTAATAATGTAATGCAACTTGTAATGTAAATCTTTAGAATATAGGAATGAAGTGCCCGAAACGCAGAAGAAGTGTTCCATCTAATTTTTCAGAGTTTGTGACTTATTTGAAAAAGAGCTGCTTTCACTCACTGGTGTATTATTTTAGTATAAAATACGATTGAAAAGTAAACGTTAGAGGTGAAATTACGTTCTTTTGACATTATTTTTACTATTTATTATTTATTATAATCGATATATTTTTATTATTTGCAGATATATTATTACCAAAATGAGTAATCAATTTTTTCATTATTTCTATGTATTCAAATAACCAATTTATAATCTTGATGCATTTAATTTAAAGTTAAATAATAGAAAATAATTGAAAAATTTTATCCAAGGTGCTACATAATATCGCAATATATATGTATGTTAAATATAAAATAAACTGCAATTGTTGTATTGTTGGTATTCAAGCTAATATTTATATATGTTGATATTTTAATTATTTCAATTATTTATTAAGTTTTAGATTCCGAATTCAAATTCAACATACAATGGCTCCAGTGCCGTTAGAAGGTCATCAAACCCCTGTAACCAATAATATTCCACAAGAAGGAAATCGTGGATATTTCTCTTGGCATGCTCATTGATTTTATTATACAACGCACTTACCATGAACTTACTGTTTTGGCTGAATTGTAAGACACTTCAAACTATTTTTTTTTTTACACTCACAAGATTAAAAAGAATTAGTATAATTGATGTAGAATTTAATATGTAATAATATGAATTAGTCATTTTTAAATATTTTTATACATAAAATGTAAAATATGTTTACAGATTACCTCGAAAAACTGACATGGAACGTAAGATAGAAATTTACACCTTTTCAGCTAGAACTAGACAGTTATACGTACGACTATTAGCATTGGTTAAGTGGGCTAATAGTGCTTCTAAAGTTGATAAATCTGCGGTATTTTGAAAATTATTGCTCATATTACTATTATTTGAATATTTTTATATAATTATTATATTGTTGTTAAATAATTAATAAGTAAAAAGATATTTCTTTAACAGCACATAATGGCTTTCTTGGACAAGCAGTCACTACTTTTTGTTGATACAGCTGATATGCTTGCAAGGATGGCTCGAAAAAAATAGTATTTATTATTGTCAATGAATATTTTTCTGATTTTAAAATTGTATGTATTTTTGAATAGGAAAGAATTGTTCCTCCTGATCCAATTACACCAGCAGAGAAAAGAAGTACACTTCAGAGATTAAATCAAGTTATTCAACACAGATTGGTAACTGGAAATTTACTTCC